TTTCTACCACTAAGATAATTCAACTTTTCAACCAAAATGGCTGAACAAAAGGGGATGTAGCACCTCCAAAAGAATCTGGCCAATACTCTCGAAGAAGAGAACAAAGTCGGTACTTTCCTTGTCGAAACGTGATTTAAAACTTGCGGTGGGTATCATCACAGGTCACTCCAAGGTGAGGGCGGGCAATGACCTCGAAATTGGACAGCGATAATATTGATTACTGTAGAATCTGTCAAGACGAAGAAGAAATTGCGACGATCGAACATTTTCTCTGCCACTGTCCAGTACCCATTAACATGAGACACAGGATGGTGGGGAAACAAGTGTCACATGATTTGTCTTCGTTCTCTAACACCGACCCTACAGTAATTCTTCAATTGGCCAAAAGACTTAAGTGGCTAAAGACGACACGGCAAAATTTCTAGCCCTGAATTATCTATATAGATCTAATAAGTAATATCTTACTTTTTCCACCAATCTCTTGCTTTTTTTCGATTTTCTTCATTTAGGATGAACACAATGGACCAACAGGTCTTCGAGCGGTGATGAAACGACAACCGCGCGTCCTTTAACCTAACCTAAACTAACCACTAAGATGGGAAGGCACTGTTGGTTGTCGACTACAAAAATTAGCTAAGTGAACTGATGGCGCCTTAGTTGATGGCGAATTAGAAAAGACGAGAAATATTCTTGAGAAATTTGTAATGTAGTAAGGAATGTAATCAACAAAAGTTTTAGTTGGTGGTTCTCTTCATCTTCATATTACTCTCTTACTCGAAAGTCCTAAATATGTTTAAAAAAAAACTCATAATAAATCTTTCAATTTGATTGCGCAAATATATAGCTATTCCCAAAAAGCAACTTAATTTTAATTGGTATTGAAGTCTTACAAAATTATAAAAATATCCAATTCCCTTGAAAGGGTGATTGGAGAAAGCTGAGAAACGCCTACAATTGGACAGTAATGTGAAGCAATAAACCTTTTGCGAAACTTTTCTGAACACAAGAAGAGAAAATGTTATGAAAATTTAAGGACATCAACTGTTCTGACAGGAGATTAAGAAATGATTGTTGATCATGTTGATATGATATATAGGGTATATATGTTTATATGGATACATAGCAAACCACTTACTATTAAAATACCCAGTATTAAATAAGGTAATCAACCACTGGTTATGTGATTTACACTATATCCTCCATTAAATGGGGTCTGCCAAGATTCTTTTTTGTTTTTTTTTTGAAAATCGAATGTAGTCTCGGCTGTGCGGCACGTAGTGCCGTTCTGGTGAAGCAAAATTTACGCATTTCCTCCTATTTAATTTTAGTGATTAAAAATTCGTTCAACATGGCCCGATAACGTAACGGCAACACCTTTCTCATTTTCGAAGAAATCTTCGCCAATTTTGCCTCTGGATTAAAATTCGCACCAAACAGTGAGACGTTTTGGGAACATCGTATAAGTACAGGGTGAGGTGAAAAAACTGCAATCAACTTCAGACTGCTGTCATTTCTGAAGCACTCGTCCGACAGATGTTAAATTATTCCAGTAGCAGTTCATTATATTGTTTACAAGCGTACAAAAGCATTTTGTTGAGAATTTTACAGAAAAAAAGTTATTCCTGATGGAATTTATGCGAGATAGTGTGATTTCTTTTTATTTGGCTGGAAGCCACAAGTGGCTATCATTAGAGCACTCCAGCATTTGAATGTGAATAAATCTTTTGTTCCGACGTCAAGGAAGTAAACGGAAGAATGTTTCGGAAAGTAAATAAGCGACTTGGTCGAAACCCGCGTCGGCCGAAACCAGTGGCCGAAAAATTGGTCGTAAGCTTAACATACCGCAATACTCCATTCGGCAAATATTGAAAAATGAGCTCGGGGTAAAGCCATTGAAATTCCGAAATGTGCAAAAACTTACACCGCAACAGAAAGAAAATAGACTCAAAAGAGCTAAAGAGTTGCTTCGCTTGGCCGAAAGTGGTGAACTGCCGAATTTGGCTTTCTCCGCTCCGATGAGAAAACATTCGTTGTCCAGCAGTTTGTAAATAATAAAATTATCATGTTTGCCAAAGACGTGTGCTGAAAAAGGTCGCTCTTATTAATTGAACGTGGCATCAGAATAAATGCCGAATATTATCGCGAAAATATTCTGGAGGGTGTATTAAAGCCGTCGACAGGCAAACATTTTGGCCGCAGACATTATACATTACAACAGGACTCAGCACCATCGCGCTCAGCACGAGACAACTAAGAATGGTTACAAAATGAGGTTCCTCGCTTCATTTCCAGCGCACAATGCCCACCAAAATCTTCGGATACCAATCTGTTGGACTATATTTTGGAAAACTACCAAAGCGTCGATCACCTCAAGTAAGCGTTTTCATGATAATGGGCCAAAATACAGCAGAGCGACATTCGGGAGGCGTATGACGGTTTCATTCGCCGTTTGAAGGCCATAATTCGTGCCAGTACTAGTTGAAAAAAAGAAACGTTAGATTACGGATCTTTTACTATGGAATTTTTTGTATTGCCTCCATATAACGATAGCGTCAAATATTCCGTATTTTTGAAATTTAAACCTCATTAACCGCCAAACTACCTGCAATTTGACATTTTACAAAAATAGAGGAGGTTTGGGTCTTAGATCATACCTTCAGCTTTTCAGTCCTGCCTTTGATGAAGCTCGCTGGAGTATTGAAACTTAATGCTATTGTTTTCAAAAGTTTTATTTTATTGGCGATCGTTTTTTGAAATTGTGGTTTATGAAAAAAATATAATAAAATTAAGATATGTACCTGATGTATTTAGGTAATACGGACATACAAAACATTTTGCCATTGTGGTGAAGCTTAATATTTGTGTACGCTACGTCGAATTTTAAGTAGCGCTGTAAAAATATAATTTTTTTCTCCTCGCCTGTACCCAAATTGCCAGAATATTTCAAAGTCAAAAACTAAAACAGTAATGGTTATAAATAAAAACGCTTGTTTTAATTCATTATTCTTTTTATATTTAATGGTGTTTGTATTGGTTTATTTGCAAACAAAAAAAGTTATATTAACAGCCCATCGGCAATGCCACCAGTTCACTATTTATGTAGTTCATTCTCCTAAAATAGATCGGGAAATAGTTAAAATCATGCATATATATTTTTTTACTAACCAAAAGTGACAACCAAATTTGAACTAAGTTCTTCCTTGCCTCTATTTTCTCTATGCATAATTCCAGTTAGAAATACTGAAATTTAACATATGCCAACAAACACAAAAGAAATAGCCTTACCTCCACAACGTATCCAAGGCTTAGTTAGTAATCTTAGTAGTTTTGGATTTGGTAGTAGATTTGGTTCTCTTTGAATTTCAAATCGCCATTAAGCCTTTAGACATCAAACTTTGTTGACAGATGGGCTTACTAACCGATCTTATACAGACCATGAACGTGCCAAGAGAATGTATGTTAAAATTCATAGGTTTCCAAATCCGTATATATTTTCCTTGTACACTGCGTTAAAATGACGCAACTGTGCCCTTCGAAATTAAGTGATTTTTTGCATTTATTCGTTCGAAAAAAAAAAAAACACGTTTCGTATACAAAGCGAATGACGTTTTAGAAATCAGCCAAATATTTTGCATACATTACACTAACATACTGGGGATAAGGTACTATTTTATTCGGTCGACTAAGGAAATCAGGGTGAAATAACAATGTAGTATAGTAATACAACATTCTATGTACTACTGAAATTATCAACAATATCGAGCTTTAAAAAATACGATTAAAATCCTGGCGAAATCCTGTTACCAAAAAATTTTCGTAAATAAGGGTTATATTCAAATTCCATTAAAATATATTCCAACACACAAACTCAAACACTTTGGTATGTTCGCATCCATATAAAGAAAACATTTTTTTCTTACACGAAAAGTTCTAGCTATAAGAATGCTGTCAACGGTTATCATCGAAAAAAATCGGATCAACTGATATCATCTATGTAGCTTCACGGGTATGAGTGAAATGTTAAAAATATCAACAATTGTCGGATATCTGTCAGTTAAAAAACTATTATATGATAATATTTACATTACATGATGACATCGAAAAAATACTCAAACAATTAAGCCCAATCCTTGAAAAACAAATAAATGTGTTTTTGAAGTCGAGTAGGTCGGTCGATTGGCTCCATCTCAGCCGTCACCAAAAGCGTGCTGAGAGGAACCAGATAAAAAGACAAACCAATATTTCGTTATCTGTATCATCTGGTGTCCAGGTATTAAATAGAATCAAAGACAATGGAAACAATGCCACAAAAAAGCCAATGTATATCCATTGTTTATACTCAATTGCATACAGGAGAAGAACATTTTGGGGGAACCAATAACGGCAACAAAAAGTAAAAAAAAGCTGACGTACGTTTCAATTTCTTTGGAGAACCTTACAAAAATATAAAAACCAAGTAGCCGAACTAAAATTGCTAATCAAAATATGTAGACAATAAAAAAAAAAAAAAAAAACATTTACAATTTCAAAGCTAAACCTAAATTATAAAAAAAAAACTAGAATTAAAATACAAACTAATTTAATAATTTGCTCATAATGTAGACTTAGTTAGAAACTAAATAAAATATATATGGAAATTTATACTATTGTTTAGAAATAGTGATGAGTAGTAAAAACTAGATGATTTTGTTTTGTATTCTTGCAAGTTATTGTAAAATATGGTATAGAATGTGGGGTGTATGTTGATGAATTAAGATATAACATAGACATAGTTATGTTAGTTTCTTTATAAGGTATGAAATATAAATTGTTTTCTTTTTTTGTCAGTACGAGACATTGTGTTTTTAGTCATTATATGTGTCTGATGTGTGTGTTTTTGTATTTGTATTAAAAAACCGTCTTGCTAATTCGAGTAGTTTGTTTTGTTTTTTTTTTTTTTTTTTCAGAGGTGAATAATTTATTTTTTTTTTTTGTTTAGTACGAAAATGAATCCAACGTACCATTCTTTTGTGGCATATACATGCCTCTTTGATTATTACCCCCACCGTTACCGTTCATCGTTGATGAAGCTGCACCGGCTTGTGTAGTTTGTTTAGCAATTGGTCGACGCTTAGCCAAAGGTAGGTCATCATCGGAATCGCTGAGTGTTAGATCCACCTGAGCAAAAAATTAAATATTTTATAATTATAATAATCTCATAGAGGCAAATAGTACTAATTTTACCGTTTCACTATTTGTGGTCGATGATGGTTGTTCACTTGCAGATGCTGTAATTGCTGCGGGTGCTGATTTCACTGGTTTAACATCTTCTGTGGTGATAAGTTCTGAAATATACAAAAGCGTCGTTATAGTTTAGCATAAAAAAGGGGGAAAAAATAATGAATTATTTTAAAGACCTATTGGGCTGTTGCAAATAAACTGAATGAACTATATAAATTATTTTTTTTCTGATAGTTTTAAAGACAGTTACCAATATTTGTGAAAAAAGAGTATTGTTAAATTCTATGCTTGATTTTAAGAATGAAAATTACTTCTTTGAATTTCATTGAAAATGACCTACAACTAAAAGAGTCACAAATCTCTCAACAAACTTATTTTATAAAAAAATCTAGTTGAATCCATTCATGGCCCATTATATCTCACCTATGTCATCTGAAATAACTTCGACTTTTTCAACTGGCTTGGTGGGTGTATCCAAAACTTGGCCCTCATTACGCAGGCTATGGGTACTCCATGAACCATCTTTGTGTAATTGGATTTCAGTGTCGTCGGGTTTAAGCAGATTTGAGGCCAACACTTCTTGGAAGTAGCTACATGTACAAAAAAAGTTCATTAATATATAAATAAGTAAATAATTTTCAAATTACAAATTACCCATCAATAACAAGATTATCATAAACGGCAGGTTTATCACACACAGGACAATTCCAGGTGGGCTTACGTTCGTTCATCTGCAGGTAAAGACTGGCATCAAAGCACTGCAAGTGGGAACAGGTTGATGCACGGCATGGTATTGACATTTTCATTTTACCCAGGGGACAATTCAATGACACCTTCAGCATTGTTGTGGCAATTTCACAATCAGCATCTTCAGTCAATTTCTCTTTGACTGCAAGGAAACATTTTAAAATCACAATGTAATTGCAAAATGTATTGTGAGATCGGACACAACTTACTTAGAGCTCTAGTATAATCGGCAGGTTTAACACCCTTTTGTTTCATTCTTTGCAATAACTGGGCTGATGTCAATTTCTTAACCAAATACACTGCAATGCAATAGCTTCGTGTATAGTCGGGACACCACTGGACTGTAATTGTGTTGGTAACTGTAGGCGATAGTTTCACATTTGATGTGACATTAACTGGTCGAGGTGGTCTTTTTGGCTCCACATTTGGACGATTTGTTGGAATGACGTTCTGTAGGAAAAACAAAAAAACGTGTGTTTATTATGCAAACTTTAAATTGTATTCTACTTACCGGCAGTTGACAAAGTTTGTTGTTGACCTTAACGCTAACACTAGGTGGAAAACAGTCCTCTTGGTCACACGATGTCTCCAGTAAACAAAAACGCAATTGCACTTGAATGGCATGTTCAATTTTAGAACTGTTGCGTATGTCACGATTTGATGCAATTTCTGTGGCTTGTTGTGGTGTCAATGTGAAGTAGAATGGAACCTCCTGTATACGTTGAGCATTACGCGGCACCAAGGACGATGGTTTTATTAAGGTACCCAAAACATCATAGAAGGCCAGTTTCTTGAGGCGCACATCTGGATGTATGGGCATCTGTGAGGGTATGGCGTGCATAAAAGGAACCACATTATTGCCTTGTGGTACCCCGGTTTGCAAAGCTGCTGCATTGGCTGGATTTAGTATGGGTGGAGCACCCACCATGCCGGCAGCATTGGCTTGCATGTGCATTTGTGAAAACATTCTCTTCGGATCTGTTGGTCCAAATTGATTGGATTGTTGTTCAACTCTGAAATTATAAAGGAAATTAGAAACTGACTTAGTTTTATTGTTTGGAATTGAAATAAAGAAGAATACTTACATGGATTGTGTGTAGACTTCACGTATTTTGGGAGCAATCCAATCAAAATTTGTACGTAACAAGGATAAGATGCGCCTCTGGTAATCGACTTTTCGTCCAGTAAAAGAAATATTCAAATATGAAAGAATTTTTTGCAGTTCTACCACTCGAAGAAGGCTTAGTTTCTCCTCACATTCCTGAAACAAAGAAGAAAATCAATGAGAATATCATCTTATTCTAAATAACAAGTCTGTTTTTTTTTTTTTTTTTGTGATTTAATTATTATTTTTAAGGCACATTTCGCATTTGAACAAGAGCCATATGCAAATATTATTAGGCTGAATGGAAACGTCTTATATATTATGATTACCCAAAGGCATAGCAGACAATTATCCCATGTTGAGGTGGTTTGTTTTTAAAGTGGGCTTGGAAGTTGTACTCTTACTACAGAGCACGCTTTACAAAATTTATGATACAAATAACAAAAACCAACCGGAGTTCTGACATTCAAAATAGAAAAACCACAACTTAGAAACAACAACGATAGACAGATGGGCCGAAAAATTAAGAGAAAAGCCAAGAAACACAGAAAATTCACTAGTAATGAAAAAACCCATACGCACTCATACAAATACAAAGGAAAAAATGTATATAGCAACACACGTACACTCGTATACCACCAAACCCCACTCACACAGCCAAATGTGCACTCATACATTTGTGAATGCACATACACACACGCACATTCAAGCAACAACAATGGCATAAACTGCACCAACACATACCTGCCACAACAACTACAAATGCAATAACAATACATATACCCAGATATACATATACGCCAAAACACACACGCACACACACCGTGTCAAAACAAAAGACCAAATAATGTGGAATAACTAGCGATAAAACATAATAGTTGGCAACCTCATTTGTTACAAAAAAAAAAAAATATATGAAAACACAAAAAGAAGTACAAATACAAAACAAAAACAGGGGAAAAAATGAAGTATAGAAAAAATAAATGTTAGCCGCTGAATCTTTACCTAGAAATTATTTAACATTTTTGCTAATGTGAAGTTGCTTCATATTTTCTCCTCTTCTGCTATAGATATCGCACCGCACAATTCTGTCACAAATTTTCTTTGATTTTGTCACACAGCAATTGTTCTTGTTCGTTGTGATCGTCTTCTTTTCTCAAAAATTAAGGAATTCTTCGTTCTTTTGCTGAATTGAATTTCTCCGACTTTTTCTTTGCTACACTACGCTGGCCAGGTTTGCAAAAAAAAGTGGAAAGAAAAACTCTGTTGTTGGGCCACAGTCCAGACTTTTCTTGTTAAAATAAGTGCAAAATGTTTGCTTTTAACATAGAAATATTCTTTTCCTCCACCTAATGGCAAGGTGACTCTAATTTATTTGCCTTTTTATTTAATTTCTTTAAACTTTATTCTGCACACACAACACACTTCACTCATGGGGAAATCGAATGAATTCTGTCGTCAAAAGAATATGATGGCGGCGAAGGGATATTATTTTTGTTGGTACATAAATTCCCAGTATTTACAGTATGTCAAACGTCCACTAGTTAATGAACACAGCCAACAGCCGGTACAGAGTTGCATCTGAGAGTTAAGTTGTCGGCTGGGCACAATAACACAGATAACAGCGTCAGCTGATAGTAGCATAAACGCAAAAAATTGTTTGAAATTAACATTTTGAATAAAAAATAGTGCAAATATGTTAAAATATTTAAAAGAAACGCATACGTAACGACATAGAATGGAGTTGCACAAGAAAAATGTTCAAAGATTTTATTCTTGCAGAAAGTTATTAATATGTTTGACTTGCCAATAATGTCGGTGGTGTAATCAACCCAAAAAATTACTATTATGAAAAACAATCGAATGTTGTCTCAAAAAATTGTTTTCTTCTGACATGATTTTTTGTATTATTGGCACATCAAGCAGTTGGTAGCATAGTACATTAAGGCGCTCTAGCCGATTTAATATAGCAGTTGGTATAATTAACTTAAAAAATGGCTGGAATTCAAAATTTTGTATAAAAATAAGGTAAGTTGTTCAAAACTAATATTTAATGACTTCTGAATAAAAAAATCAAATAAATTTGAGTTTGGCATCATATCAAATGCTGATGTATTTACTTGTATTCTTTTTCCATTATTTTTAGAGTTATTGGTGACATTGAATGCAGGTAAAACTGGCACAGCTTGCCTTATTAAAAATCGAATACGAAACCGAATGTGTTTTTTAATAATATTTGATGTAAAGGACTATTACTCCGTATTTTCCCAATTTGCATTAAGCCTGCATACTTGCTGTATGTCTCATTTCGTAGGAGAAAAATGGTAGAATTAAGAAGGTAAGTCATGCAATTATAGGTTTACACTTTTTCAAAATTATTCATTTAACAACATTTCATTGTCATAACGTTTATTTAGAAATTCAAGTTTATTTGAAATAACTTTAACTTCTTAATTTTACCATAAGCAGAAATCACCTACTGTCAAAATGTATACAATAATGCAATAAAAAAAAAAAACAAATAAAAAGACACCATTTGCAAAGAATTTGCAAAATTTCAAAGAAATGCGTTCTAACAAATTACGTTTAAAAATTCAAACATACGGAATATTGGCTGGTTCAGTTATACGTGATCTGAAACAACTCCGGTGAAAAGTGTGACACAAATCATCAGAATACAGTATATCGGTTAGGTACAGTTATATATGGTCTCTATGAAAATGAAGATGATCTATCAGAGAAGATAATACATATGCTCAGCACAAAATACCATTTCTGAAATAATTCCGTCAAATAAAGTCGCTAAAAGTTGCAAAGTTCTTTGCAATGATATTTCGTACATACTAGGAACTCGATACCAACAATTTACAGAAAGTTCGGTTAAAAGTTGTAAGCGTTTTCAATGCCGAAAATCTCATGACCTAAAATATATGTGAGTAAAATTTTGTCCACCTACTTCATTGCGTTGGGTAATTTTCACAGACGGACGGGCATGGCTGAACTAAATGGAATCTTTGTGGTGTTTAAAAAGTTTTTAGAAGCAACAAACTAAATGGCATACATAATATGCATTTTTTACGGTTTTTTTGGTGGTTGATAGATTTCAAGTTTCCAATAATTGGTATTTTTTTTTTAACTGCAAGAATGTAAAGCATTTTACTCCTTAAATTAGTAGATTATTGCAGGTTCTGGAACAAAGCAAATGAAATTCCAATGTAAAACATTTTCAAAAAAATTTCAAGTTTGCCTTTGAGAGAGTAAATAATGGGTAATGCTTCAAATGAGCTAAGAAATAGCCTGGAGTCTTTTCTGCTTGTAACTTTCGACTTGTTACATATCCAAATAATATCTTATGCTTATTATAAGTTTACTTAAATCTTTATTTAAATAATATTAGGAAGAAAATTCGCGAATTTGGAAGAGCTATGCTATTTCCATATCCATCTAAATGCAGAAAAGGGGCATAGGTTTGACCCATGGTTGAATAATACATGTAACAGCAAGTGTTGTAGTTATACAACAATAGTAACAACAACCAGATACAACATTGAAAACTTTCCGAACCATCGTCTTTGGCGTTTTGCTAAGTACAAGGGCAACGTTTTCTATGATTAGGCAAAAAATCTTCACATTATCCTACAGTGAAATTTTATATCATTGTATATCAAGAAAACTTCATATCGAGTTTGACACTAGTATTGCCATAAAGTCAAATCAGCTGGGACTTGCCGTTACCTGTAATAATTATACCATGAGGTTTGACCCAAAATAGGTAACTTCATTAAAAAAATTAGATTTTTTCGGAATGTACTTGTTAAATTTAAATTGATTGAAAATTAACATCCAACTCTGATTTGGGATACAATGGATTTATAAATCGACTTTATGAGAAAGAGCTGTAGTCAAATCGAAGAAATGCAAACATAAGCCTTTATGATGTTACCTTCTTAGTTTTGCCATGACATTGTTACATTCTCACATTAAGCCACAACAAGAAACAGAAATAAATTGCCATCAACATCAACATTTTTGATATTAAATAAGTGAATCTTAAAGGTAATTTTTATATGGCTTCGTTATTTTATCTCAATTTTACAAATCACATAAGATTTTTACATTGGAGCGCTTTTTTATTATGGTTGTACTTAATAGCCAGACATCAACCATGCGTTAGAATAACGAGTCATATGAACACATCCAAGACGCTGGGATATTTTATAATACTGGGAATTTCCCTCCAAAAAGTAATCATTGCAAATATTAAACAAATCAAAACATTAATTACACTATATAATATTTAAAGACTTTCACACATACCACAATGAACCAAAACAATGTAAATAACAAACTCTTCCCTGATTATTAATTCCAGAATTTATGTATGAAAATCCGAATAAGAAATCATTAGACCTACCTTAATCCGGGCAGGATCAATATAGACGCTGCCTGGCCCAGAAGCCGCCGACTGTTGTGTGTTGGTACGTTTCTGTTGTGAATTGTTGGAATTCATTTGATATTGAGGCGAATGCTGTTGCGGCTGTTGTTGCTGAGTCGCCGATGAATTCGATGAAGTGGAAGAGGACACGACACCGGAGCGAGAATTTCCTCGCGTCCCCGAAAGTATAGCATTTTCTGCATGGGTTTGAGATCGCGTCTTACGCATTACAAATGTTTCTGATTTTCTGTTCTATAAAAAAATTACCAAAATATAAACCACAATCAAACACACGCACACACGACACAATATAAACAATGTTCAGTCATGAACTATCCGCCGATAAATGTAAACAAGAATGTAATCGATTTTTTTTAGAATTTTTTTCGTGTAAAACAGTACAAATGCACAGCAAATGTAATTTTATGTTTTCACTTTCAAAAGATTGAGCGGTGGAAAATTTTTTGGGTGATTTGTGTCTCCTTGCTGTGAATGCAAGTGTGGAAACAGCTGCAGACGAACAGTGTTGCCAAGCCGGCATTCAAAAGAAAATTCCCCCTATTTTAGAAAAGTGATGTCAACTTTCGCTGCTTTGTACAACCAATGGTAGAAGAATACGGGTAGTCGCATCGACATATCTGATGGGATTATGAATTGTCAAATCAACTTGAAATTGAAAATTTTGAACGAAAAATTATTTAAATTTGTAACAATTCTTGAAAAATGCATATCATAACAACCTCCGTTTGGCATCGTTAAAGGAAAAAAGTAAAAATCTACCTCTTTTTGAAAACAAATTTTTAACTCAATGCTCCCAATAATGCAAGGAAAAACCTCGTATGAACACTACAAATATGATTTTGAAAAGAAATTTTGACCATTTAATCAGTTTTCGTGGTTTTCAATTATTTATTCAAAATCAATGCAACTAGTTTGCTTTGCTTTTTGATTATTTTGATGGTAATTCTGACATTACAAGCCAAACAGGTAGACCTCTATTCTTCCAATTTTTTCAATTGTACCATGCGTTGTAATACGGATTTTGATTACAACTGAATTTGAATATGTTCTCAACAATTCCCATACATGAAAAATTAATTTGCATTGTTAAGCCATGCAAATAAAAAACAAGTAAGCAAAGGCTATAGTCGTGCGGGGCCGACCATGTGATACCCTACAACACTACAATATGTGAGAAGCCCCCTCATGTCCAAATCTATTTGGGAAGATTTCGCTTTTGAAATTATGTCTGATCACGTACGATCAGATTGGATCTGAAAATAAGTATGCCAAATTTGATCGAAATCGGTTCAGATATAGCTATAGCTCCCATATATATATTGTTCATCCGATTTGTTATTTTTGTCCTCCGCAGCCGTAATATGCACTCTGTAACAACAATATTTGGGAAAATATATCAAATACAGCTCAGAAATACAGATTTCAGATTTTGATATAGCTCCCATATATAACTTCGTCCGATTTACCTTTGATTGTGCACCAAACGTCTAATATTTGCCCAAATTGGATGAATTGAGTCTAGAAGCTAGTATGTCAAATTTGGTGAAGATCAGTTCAGATATAGCTATAGCTCCCACATATACTGTTCATCCGATTTGTCAGATTTGTTACCCACAGCCGTAATATGCACTTTGTAACTGCGATATTCAGGGAAATATATCAAATACAGCTCAGAAAAATCTTTGCCAAATTTTATCGAGATCGGTTCCGATTTGGATATAGCTCCCATATATATTTTTATCCGATTTCAAATTAATTGTGCACCAAATGGGTAATACAAGTCCGAATTTAAAAGATACAAATGCTTCGGCATATTTAGTCCTTTGAACTTTTAATTATAATTATAATCACAGCGTGTATGATTGAATTCTCCCATAAACTTATAATTTTTATGCGCAACTCTACTAAATTAGCAAAGTGGTGTAGGGTATCATAAAATCGGCCCCGCCCGACTTTAAGACTTTCTTTACTGGTTTTACACACAAGTAGTGGTCCATTCTACCCGTTGTCTTAAATTCTAACTTCATGCAAGATTTCGTGTCCCTTGGTTTCTATTTGTGACCTTTAAAACGGATGCAAAATCAGGAACATTTTGAGTTGCTGGTCCATTTGAACCCCTAAATATATTGCGGACATCTTTGAAAACAATAGATTTAGCCCTTCTGAGCCTTACCCTACCTTTCGTGAGGTTCGAACGATAATTGCAATCTGGTTATAAATAATAACCCCAACCTGTGTTGTAAAGTGCAAAAATATTACAAAATATACATTTCAATATTATAAGTCAAATTGAAAAAATCGCATGCGATAAAAAATATGAAAAAATAAAAAATGTCACAAAATACTACAAAATCTGTATTAACATCATTATCGGCATCTTTTTACGCATTTTTTTAGATTTTATACTTTTATGCCAAAAGGGCATTCTAAATTTACAAAATTTGTCAAAATCGCTCCAGCCATTCTGGAGATATAAGCATTGTAGCTAACATCCCCTTCCTTTGTATATATACATTGTATATATTTCTCTATATATATCCGATATTTTTACTATTGGCATCTACGTAACGGTCAGAGTTCTCCTGTTCGTTTATTTGTGATTTCGCCGCATTAAAAATATTCGCGGTTTAATGGAAAATTTAACTTTTATTTATCACAAATGCTATGGCCTATTTCAACCACTAAATATTACCCGATGACCATCAAAATTGGAAAATTTCTGCTCTAGTCCTATGCTGACTTTCGCTTCTATTGGTCTATAATTGTGACCTGTAGAGCAACTGAAAAATCAGGAAATCTTTCAGTTTTTGGTCCATTTCAACACCTAAATATTATGCGATCATCTACAAAAGAAATAGGGTTCTATTCTGATCTTAACCCCACCTACATTTTAAATTTCGTGAAGATCGGCCCATAATTGCGACCTGTAGAGTGATTACAAATTAACATGGACAGACGGACGGACATATATAGCTATATCGACTCAGCTCGGCGAGATAGGAAGATCCATATATACTTTCCTATGTGGGAAATCAATATTTCGTGGTATTACATATGGTCTGTTCCAGAACTACAAGAATGTAATATTTTTTACAACGATAACCGATTTTGCCTTTATGATATCTGAGAAAGTTGTACAACTAGTAGACTCTTTCAGGTTCTGGAACAGACCAATAATTTTTGGCCCAATCAAACTTATAATACCCCCAACACAAAGTGTTGTAGGGTATAATAAAATCGAATGTTTTCAGTTCCCTACCTTGATTTCATTGTACCCATGGCTCAATAAGAAAGGTTGCTTAACTTCAAGGTAACTAGGAAAGTGCAACTCTGTACTGGAGTCTTATTATGTCACATAGACTTTTTGAAAATGCTACAGTTTGCTCTGTTTATTTAAATTTTTGGGGTTCCACCACAAAATTGAATCCAAGATAGAGAAACAATTTTGTTTTATCCCAAAATTATACATTTTGAAATAATCGGAAATAATTTTAAATTATTTTCCCTTTTATTCAAAACAGAATAGGGGCACCAAAAGAAAAAAAATTGTATTTAGGGGATAGCTTTATGCTCTTTCTTCGATATCATAAAGGGAAAATCTCTGATTTGTGTATGTACAATGGATATGTAAATAAACAATTTTGAAAAAAAAAAAAAATTATACATATGATTGCATGACTTTACCTTCTTAGTTCTACCCATGGTAGAAATACCAGGTAGCAACATAGGCGAAAATTACAACAAAGCAACTTTGTTTGGAAACTTGATATGTCAAAGTTGTAGTCAGAGCGAATTGTCTTGAAGTACAAAATTTGGGGCAAATTATTTTTCCAATCAAAATATTGAATTAAATATTTTCAAAATTGTTGCTTTTTCTATTACAAAAGCAAATATTCAAAACTTCCAACATCGATTGAAAGTAATGCTGAAGCCGCTGCATCTTGGTTTGATTATAGCACGTTCAATACAACATTTTTGAAAATCACAGAGACTGAAAATGGAGTGATTGTAGTCTCCAGCGCGCCAACGAAGGACATTTGCGATAATAGATGTTAATCGTTGTTATCTCTTCATCATCCTTACACAGCATGCAGTCTTGGTAACGTTGGCAACGTTGATTTCATATTTAACAGCGATAATGTTCTTTACAAGAAAATATCCGGAAAATTATTTTTGATGCTTTAAAATTAGGTTTTGTGGTGGTTCTGGGGTGTACCCTTTTTTCTTTTGCTACATCGTCAGCTTTCTCGCTGTAGTGTTATGCTACCTAAAAGGTACTTTAGGGTATATTTACTCCTCAGGCTTACTTAAGATTTGGATCAAAGATTGCAGAAGATACAGGGGGCTGAGTCTACTGTGAGTCCGGGCATATTATTTGCTCAGCTATGAAATGTATAGCAGACAGGAAGTCTTTTAAGCATAAAAAGTTTAATACATTCGAACAATTTGAAATAAAAAAATTATCTCAATATTTAATCACACCCCAAAAATTGCCAATATTTTGTTCCCCAAACCAATCCAATATGCTTTGGAATCATTTACCTTTCACTGTTGCAGCCCAATAGTGTATAACATAGTTGAAAATCCGTACAAATAAGATGATGAAATTCCATGTATCGGTTTATTTCCTATATGAAATTGATTCCCTGTTTCACTTATTTCAAATATCCACGAATTTTAGATCTCCATATTACCTATGTCTACCATATGTTGAATATACACTTTTTCCCTCATACTCTATAAAAACGTAAAATCTCGATTTTCTATCAATAGCATTGTTAAAGTTTGAAATCATGCAACAATTTTCTTATGTGTACATAAAGGCGAATTCAAATTACAACAATTTTTTGACATATCAAATTGATACCAGCTGGCCTGAAAGGGTTACCTTGTAATTCTACCATGGTTCTACCCATGGTAGAAGAATATAGGTAGACCCTTCGACATAGCTGCTGGGACAATGAACTGTCAAACCAATTTTGGAATCGAAATTGTTGAATGAAAAATTACTCAAATTTGTAAATATAGTTAAAAACCAGTAAGGAAAGCTCAAAAGTCGGGCGGGGCCGACTATATGATACCCTACACCACTATGCATATTTAGTAGAGCTCTCGTAAAAAGGTTTATGCAGGGCATTTCAGAGCTCTATGAGATATTTGGTACAAAATCAAAATCTATCTAATTCTATCGTGCATTTTACGAACTATAGCTATCTCTGAACCGGGTTTCTCCAAATTTTACGTATTAGCTTCTAGACTGGTGATTTGGGCTGATATTGACCATTTAGTGCACATTTAACCCGAAATCGGATGAAGATATATATGGGAGCTATATCCAAATCTGAACCGATTTCGATAAAATTTAAAACAGCTATTCCTGTGCTCCATCTAATACCTGGTACCAAATATCACGGTTGTGGAGTGAATATTACGAATGTATGGGACTAAAACTCTAAATCGGATGAAACATATATATGGTTGCTAAATCTATATCTGAACCGATTTTCACTAAATTTGATATACTTGCTTCTAGGCTGAATTTGGTCCGATGTACTAAAATTCAGTCCATTTGGACTTATATCGGCCATTTGGTGCACAATTAACCCGAAATCGGATGAAGATATATATGGGAGCTATATCCAAATCTGAACCGATTTCGATAAAATTACAAAAAGCTATTTCTGGGCTGTATCTTATATCTGGTACCAAATATCATTCTTTTGGAGTGCATATTACGAATGTGAGAGGCTTAAACACCAAATCGGATGAAAGATACATATGGGAGCTATATCCAAATCTGAACCGATTTCGATAAAATTTAAAACAGCTATTTCTGTGCTCCATCTAATACCTGGTACCAAATATCACGGTTGTGGAGTGCATAGTAGAAATGTGAGGGACTTTAAGATCAAATCGGATGAAAGATATATATGGGAGCTATAGCTATATCTGAACCGATTTTCTCCAAATTTGATATACTTGCTTCTAGGCCGAACTCGGTTGGGTGTGCCAAAATTCAGGTAATTTGGACTGATAGTGAACATTTGGTGCACATTTAACCCGAAATCGGATGAAGATATATATGGGAGCTATAGCTGTTTCTGAACCGATTTTCTCCAAATTTGTTGTATTTGCTTTAAGGCTAATCTCGGTCACATGTGCCAAAATTCGGGCCATTTGGGCTGATATTGGCCATTTGGTGGTCAATTAAACCGAAATCGGATGAAGATATATATGGGAGCTATATCCAAATCTGAACCGATTTCGATAAATTTTAAAACAGGTATTTCTGTGCTCCATCTAATACCTGGTACCAAATATCACGGTTGTGGAGTGCATATTAGAAATGTGAGGGACTTAAAGATCAAATCGGATGAAAGATATATATGGGAGCTATAGCTATATCTGAACCGATTTTCTCCAAATTCGATATACTTGCTTCTAGGCCGAACTCGGTTGGGTGTGCCAAAATTCAGGTAATTTGGACTGATAGTGGATATTTGGTGCACATTTAACCCGAAATCGGATGAAGATATATATGGGAGCTATATCTAAATTTGATCCGATTCTCACCAATTTCAATAGGGTTCGTCCTTGGGCCAAAAAAATATTGTTTGGAAAATTTCATCTCAATCGGATAATAAATGCGACCTGCATTTTGTTCACAAGAATACATGGACAGACGGACGGACGGACAGACGGACTGACATGCATAAATCGACTCAGAAAGTGATTCTATGAAGGTTCTCAAAAGTAACTATGGGTCTATCTCGTTTCCTTCTCCATGTTACAAACAAATGCACAAAGACATAATACCCTTACCACTATGTGGTGTAGGGTATAAATACATATTATAACAACCACCGATTGGCGTCGTGTAGAAAAACGTATACAAATATACTTATTTTTGAAGAAATATTTAAAAAATTTTGACATATCAATGTTCCCAAGCGCTGATGCATCTACCTGTATTTTTCTACCATGGTTCTACCATGGATTGTACCATTTTTTAGCAATACAAGGAAAACCCTCGTATAAACACCGTTAAACAAAATCTCAGCCATTATCGAAATCGATAAAAAATTGATTTTTACACCAGAACGAAAATCGACTATCGTGTCCCTAACTCGCAGGTGAAACGTCAAATCAGAACGACGGAAAATCAGAATTAATCACGAAAAATAAGACAATTCACAAGTTTATTTCGGTTAAACAAAATTTAAAGTTTCTGCGGCGAATGCTCATGCCGATAATGACGTTTTGTGTTTTTAGTAATATAAATCGATAGACTAACCATAGAAAGGTAAAACCCCATAAAATCATGGAAACAACAGTCACCATGAAAAGAGAATCATAAGAATCATACGACAAATGAACAAGTGAGGAAAAACATAGTGGAAAAATTAAGAGTTGAGCAATTTTCGTATCCTCGGTTGCCTAATGAAACAAGAAAATATTAAGCAATAAAATTGGGAAATAAACAAAAAAAAATTGTCACAACTCAATAAAAAATCGCAACAAAATCTTGTCCGCACTGAAAATTATAATTGTGTAAATCAAAAAAGCTACACACCTTGTCCGTGTGTATTGTTATTGTCCGTAAAAAAGTTCTATTTGCTGTGTATTATTATTTTTGTTGTTGTGTCAGAAAAAAAAAAAAAAACATCGTCACCGCCAACCCGCAACACGACAACAACAAAACGACGATAAACACATTGAGAAGGTTAAATAGAGTTTTTTTTTTTGCCCAATTATCTTTTGTTTCAATCAGGTGTATTTGGACTGTTAGTTTGAAACCATACCTATAAACAGAAAATGTTTTAAAGAAGAATAGCTAAAATTGCTGAAAAAAATTAATGCAGTTTTAGGCGGAAGTTTTTGTTTTCACATCTCTTCTTTTGTGTTTGTGTCTCAGACGAAGTTAAGAAGCTGTGGTTGTTGTTTTTGAAGTTGGAGATCAATGAACTGAATTTTGAATGAGATCTAAACACAAAATTGTTCCATGGCAAAACACCTATTAAAGATCTGATTCTGATTGGGCCGGACTAGGTATGGCGGGCGTGCATTTGCCATGGCTGGCTGTGTCACGTTGCCATGGTAATCATGAGGAGTCATAAGGATCTGGGAGATCTTGATGTATTTTTCCAATATGTTACATTGGCAAATTATCCAAAGTTAACCAAAACATGACAAGCCGTCATTTCTCTTGGATCCGGAAATTTTCTCATAATAATGTCTGCTCATAAACAGATCGGTTGTTTTCTTAGACTCTGTACGTCGCGTTTTCCTTGGCCATGGAAAAGCCCATTGGACAGCAGGAGAGTTCTGATTTCTGGTTAGCGAAAAGGATTTTCCGAAACATCATGTTAGCTGCAGCCGCTCGCAACGTATCTGCGGGTGGAATACCTGAAAGATTACCAAATTTCTCCCAGCACAAGCTGCTCCCTAAGTCAATAAACTGACAGTGATGGCCTTCCCGTTGGTACAGGAGCACAAGAGGACGAAGTGGCCAGATCATCCGAAGTGTTGCAACATTGGAACCATCCGGCAACCTGTCGTTAGCCACCCAATTCGTTTCGGAAGCCGGTCCCTCTATTGGAGCTTTTCGGCAGTTGCAAAGACTACAGAGGAGTACTGAGGTTTCCGTCAGCAATATAGAACCACATCAGCATTAGATGCCATATCCACATATATAGTAGTGTCATAGAATATAGTGGCTTTTTACTAATCTGAAATCGTTGATACTGTCAGTTACGCCACCAAGTTTGGGGACGTCGAAAGCACTGCCATCCATCGGATTTTAAAACTTGATAATCAACTATATGTGTAAACGCCCGCCGCACTTAGAATTCTGAAACGAGAAGTGCAAGCCCCATAGTGTGTAACAGGGTGTTCCCTAATATTTGCTGATGATTGATCGTCTGGTCCTGTCGTCGATAGCAATTGTGTTAGATTGAATACCTATCTCACGTAGCCTGCAGCCTTCAACCAGGCGAGGATTATTAAAGTGTCTACAACTAAGTCAGCGGCAACATTTTTTACCACATGGACTGCGGATACGAGAATGCAGTGACATTCATACTAATGCAATCACACATGACAAACCTACCCGAGTCACTCCCCAAACACCTTTTCCTACAGCCTATGATACATTTTTCGATTTGAAGTTAGAATTAGACTAGTTAAAAGCGACACGACATATATTGTTGTTACAACAGCAAAAACAACAGTCAGTCACATTTTATTTAAGGGTATATATCATTTGATACGGCCAAAACGTGCCTCGTCGTAATCCGTATCGTCGTATCCGATTTGATCCAAACTTGGTACATCGTAATATTGTTGTCAAAATTAGATCGAGTTCGGAGATGGACAATATCGGTTCACTTCTTCTGGTACCTTCCACACAAAATGTCAACATTTTCATAGAAAATAATTTACTGCTCAGAAAGAGAAAGGATAATTCGATTGTGCTCCAACTTTGCAAATCCAAATATTTGCACCAGATTTAAGTCAGGTCCGAAAATGGACAATATCGCTCCACTCCATAAAGTATCTCCCCCAAAAAGGGTCAACATTTTGAATAATTGTAACTCGTATAGAATAAGCATCCCATCTCATATATATAGGCCCATCCCTTTTGGTACCTCCCACACAAAGGGTCAAAATTTCGAGTATCCACGAAGCTCATAAAACGCGAAATCAACATCATGGAATCTGACTTGGTACATCTCTATATTTCTATCAACACAATTTCTATTATAAAGATGGTACAGATCTTCTGATACCTCTCACACATAGGATTAAAATGTCTGAATAACAAAAGTTTTAAAGAAAGCGAGATAAGCGTCCAACTCTCTTTAAATTGTAAAGATGATATACATACATCTGCCCACCCCTTCTAGTACCTCCCCACAAAGTGTCACAATTTCCAATACATAAATGAAATACTTCAATCTGCTATATTTGATACCTCACGCATATTTTACATTTTTCAAACATTTGCACATAAATATCTCATATAATGTATATGAAGAACTGTTTGGAACCTCCCCCATAAAGGGTCAAGTGTTTGAATAATAATAAATCGATTAATATTTTACTTGTTTTTGTTTACATTTGAACTAGTTCTTAAAACGTCGTGTTGTTAATTCTCGTTTAGATACCTAGGATATGTTTTTTCACTCACCATTAAATTGCTTTAAAAAAATGTTGTGATTAAAATAACAATATTTTCTTTGCATTTTTTAATTCAGGCTCCCAAGGAAATGCATTAATCTATACAAACATTAAAAAAATGTAATTACAATCTATAGGTTTTTGAACTGTTTTTCAAAATCAATTAGTTAATTAAATGCACCAAACACGTTATTTTGTGTTTTTGTTTTATTTATTTTTAGCAAGCTTAGCTCTGCTTCTTTATCTCGGAAGAGTTGTACTACTTGTTGTCATTAGTAAATGTTGCTGGTGCTGCAGTTTCAGTTTTTCTTTAGAAATCTGTCAACATCGTAGGAAAGCAGCAAACAACATTGGCGGCAGTATTGTTTTAGAATGTCGGAATCAACAAGCAGAACCACTAATAATGCATCCAATATTGAAATGGAAACGTCAAGTTCGACAACGGCAGAGAATGCTGAGGCCCAAACAGAAACATCAGAAATAGTAACATCAACAACAACTAGTGAACTCGCAACAACGAGCGGAGAATCCACAACAACAACAAGTGGGGGATCCACAACAACACCAACAACAAGTGGAGAAACCCCAACAACAACACAACTGGAGTCACCAACAACATCACAGCAACAACCTCAACAACAAAATACTGAACAGCAGCAACAACATAATGCTGGACAACAGCAACCATCAACACCTCCCCAGCAGCAGCAACAACAGGCTCCACAACAGCAAGCAGCTGGCGCCGGCGCTGCTGCTGTAGGAATTGATGTCAATCAAATAGCAAATGTTATTAGCGTTAGTTATTTAGCCGCCAATGGGTTGAATAATCAACGTAATCGTGGTGCCGCTGGCGGTGTAATTGGAATCGGAGCACCGGGACAGGTAAGAAAATGGAATCTATATCAAAATATTTTGTAATTTTATTAATATTTGTTTTTCATTTGTTACAGAACAACATCATGAATATGCGAAATCGTCTGTTCCATGCAATTTATTTTAAAGTGGCGTTGATATATGCGCAAATGTTTCCCAAGTGAGTACAATGTATAAGGGATAATATTTATTATAAAGTCCAGAATGTCTTGCAAAAGTCTCACTGGTTAAGAAAGTCCATCAGAAATATTAATAAATGTGTCCTTTACAAAAAAATGTAGACCGGGATGTGGTTCAAAGATGTTTATAAAAACGTCCACAAGAAGTTCAAAAGTGTTCTTAAAACCAATGTAACAAAACATAAATTATAAATATATTTCTTGAAACGAGTATAGGGTCCAGAAAATCTTCAAAAATGTGAAAACTTTTCAAAAAATATATATTATAATTTATGTTTTGTGGCATTGCGAATTCGTCTGTAACAAATCGATATTTTGTGGATTTATTGGAACTATTAATTGACGCGTGGACGACTATTGATTTAAAAGGTCTGAAAATCCGAAATAGGAGTATTATTGAATGCCGGTCAAAGAAGTCCATATCTATGACTTTGATAGTTCTGAGAAACAGCTCTCCTAGTCGCAGAAAAATCTCCATAAAAAGCCCTTGTCTCAAAAAATCGTGGAGCTCTGTTATAGCATGCAAAATCCTTTTTTGGATCTTATGATCAAAAGTTCTTAATAGCCCTAAAAATGTGATTGAAAACGACAATTTATGGCATTGAAAGTTTTTTAAAAGTATTATTAAAGAAACTCCCACGGTTATGGTCAAAAAGTGTTTGAAAACTTTAATTTAATATGCACATTTTGGCTATGGAATGTCAGTAGACATATATTTGAAATATCCACATATTGTGGCGAAAGTCTTTGGAAAAAGTATAATTAAAAATTCATGCTGTGTAATTTCCAGACAAAATATAATCAAAGATTTCAATTACGACCCTTTAAATTCTTAAAAATATAAATAAAAATAAGTATAATATAAATAAATAATAAGTAAATGTCCTTTCAAAGTGTGTGAAATTGCCACATGGCAATATATCAAATATATTATAAACATATTAAGTTTTTGTGACAACGAGAATCTTTTATAGCTTACACGTAAATTGTCTAGGAAGTCTGAACTAATGGGCCAATATTGTCCATTTTGTATCGAACCTAAATAAATATTATAAAAATTTTGCGACGTGGCAGGTTTGGACCATGTCGACTACTTCCTTCCTATGTGATAATTTTTAGAAAATGTTCGTAGTCGACTGGAATATTCCATTTTCATAATTCATCTAATGCAGATAAAAAATATTGCTATGGACAAAATGACAAGAAAATTGAAAATTTACATCCTCCATTTTTATGCGAAATCATAAATTCCATATTCATCTCAGGTTTCTGGTTGAGCAAAATATTTAGATATGGCAAGTCACCTGACCTTGTGTTAATAAAAATATTGTGATGTGTTTAATTTGAAAACAATGGGATTTTACATCACATTTTATAAGAATTATAATTATTCAACATTTTGACCCTTCGAGGGGGAGGTACTGGTTGGAGTGGAGAAGCCAGACCTAGGGTTTAAAAACGTTATTTCGATGAGGTACGTTTTGGCCGTATCAAATGAAAGCCATTTAAAAATATTATTATTGGGAAAATTCATTTCAAAATGTGATTAAAAATTCATGTTTTATAATCCCACATATTATTTTAAAATATTTGTATTATTTCTTGTGGACCTCAAAGTAATTTTAAAATGTTTTAAAAATCCGTGCTTTGTCTATTAAAATATTTTTGAAAAATTACACATTTAAGGTCTTTTCGTTTGAAATAAACTTTTTATGGCCCTGCAAGTCTTCTGAAAACCTTGCTCAAAATCAGAGGAAATCGCAAAAAGATACTTCAAAATTAAATATTTTTTAAAGGTAGTCTTCCCCCAATTAATCTTAATAATTTTTTCATTTACTTTCAGACCTTTTCAACGAGCTTTGGAATATTTCTTCCTCGCTAAAGCACTGCTCTTCTTCTCGGCTTTGGTTTACATTCATATGTCGTTTATAAAAAATCCAGCTACTTGTCTGGAGCACGTTCAAGACTGGCCAAGGGATGGGGTTCTAAGGTAAGTGAATATAATGCCCAACAAAATTTGTAACAAATTTTGAAAATTGTTTCCCCCTTTGTAGGGTTGAGGTCATACCCAATTTGGACAAACGCATGGAACTGTATGAAGAAAGTCAGGTCTATGAAAGGAATATGCGAAAGCTTTACTATGATTAGTAAGTGGAATAATATTTAAATGTTAGCATTGAAAACTAGGTTCTGTTTTCTCTTTATCACCTTTAGTTTTTATGGAATAGGACCGAAGACTAAGAACCAATTGTATCATCACAAATATGCAACAAATGAAACATTTACCTATTACCTGCAACACGAAGAAGTCTACGAAAGTTACTTAAAAGACAAACAACAACAGGCAACGGAATATCATGAGAATCCCGACATGGAATATGGTAATATTTTTAGAACATAAAAAGTTTAGATTGGACTTAAACCTTTTCCTTATTGTCTTCCCTAGCAGATGAACAATACATTGTGGAATATTCACTGGAATATGGTAATTTACGTTTATCGCCAGCCACCCGAAAACGTTTACAAATACCCGTTCGCGTTGTACGTTTGGATCCCATGACCAATAAATGTTTTGGTGATAGATTTAGTAAATTTTTACTTAAAGAACTTTTAGGGTAAGTAGTTTTAAAACAAATTTTTGTTATGTTTAGAAAGTCAATGAAGTTTTTTTTTCTTTATTTCTCCTAAGCTATGATGATTTACTTATGACTTCGGTACGTGTCATTGCCGAAAAGGAAGAAAATAAAGGCTATTTACGTAATGTCATTACTGGTGAACATTATCGTTTTGTTTCCACTTGGTGGACGGCATGGAGTTCATATCCTACGGCATTTTTTGTTATGCTATTGTTTGTGAGTATTCATCGAAATATTTCAAGGAAATGAAATAGTGAAAAAGGAAAATCTTGGTACTTTTCAGATAAATATTTATATAGAAAGATAGATATATGGATAGATAGATAGTTTAATTGAAAAATAAGATATATATATATATATACAGTGTGGCTACGGTACCAGTATCACGGTAACAAGCGATGGTACGAGGCACAAAAGATTTATTCACATCTAAATCCTGGAGTGCTCTAACGATAGCCACTTGTTGTTTTCCAGCCAGCTTGAATTCCATCACGAATACCACTTCTTCTGAAAAATGCTCACCAAAATGCTTTTGTACGCTTGTAAACAATATAATGATTGACTTAGAATGACAACAGTCTGAAATTGGTTGACGTTTTTTCATCTCATCCTGTTGATAGATATATATTTAAGCTATCTAAAATAAAAATAGGTAGCCATATAGAAGCTTTTCCAACGTTTATTTTTAGATGAAAGCTCTTATGAAAGATCTCTGTAAACAGAAATCTATTGGTTTAACACATTCCAAAGACAAAGGTTTTTTTTTAGACTTAAGAACTTCTCAACATTTTCAATAAATAGAACATTCTGTAAATACTTTCCAAAGGTAAAAAGCTGTTGCAATGCTTTCCATAAAAGGACGCCTTATAGAAAGTATTTTCTAAATACTTTAAAAACTTTTTAAACATTCACAATAAAAAGAATATCGTTTAAAGACTCTAAAAATATAAGGCCTTTCAAATTCCATCTATAGACAATCTACCTTCAAAAGATACTGTATTTGTATAATGTCTTGTAAAGATCTCCCCTAATTTCTAAAGTCTTTAAGGATGACAACTGGTAAAATAAGTAGCTAGGTCGTAAGAAGTTACTAAATTATATAAAAACATTTAGAAAGAAAATGTCTAAGGAACCGTCGTGTATACATGTTTATCTTCTTTATGTATACAATTCCTTCCAATTGATAGACTAATCCTAAGAATGAAGGAATTCCTCATTATTGTATAAGTAAATATATCAAGGTATTCAATGGTGCTAATACGTTTTCTTTTTTATATTTTAGACCTTTTCAATATCGATGCTATTGAGATTTTCGCATCATCAAATATTTGTTTTCATTGGTAAGACTATCAAATATTTTCTTTACGTATTTTCTTTTTAATTCAATTTTTTTCTAATATTTCCAGTGGACCTCTTACAAATGTTGGAATTCAATGTAACTGCTCGTTTCCCCATAGCTCCTCTATTGATTGTCATATTAGCTTTAGTTGGTGAGTAATAATACCATTTAATTTTGAATCGACATTTACTCATATCTATATTAAATTTTCAACAGGCATGGAGGCTATAATGTCGGAATTCTTCAATGATACAACAACAGCGTTCTATATAATATTAATTGTTTGGGTTGCCGATCAATATGATGCCATATGCTGTCACACCAGTATTACAAAAAGACATTGGTTAAGGTAAGTTTAACTTATTTTTTTAATTTTAATTTTATTTGTAGTTGATCATAGTTATGCAAAAATGACTTATTTTATACAGTACGTTTTCTTCAGGCAGGAGATTTACTACTTATATCTAAAATATATTTTAGGGAACTTCAATAAACTGAAGACTTTTAAAAAGTTTTGTTTACATTAAATTGCCTGTAAAAGTTTTCTTTGGGATAAAAATACCATAAATAGATACTGTAAAACTAGAATATCTTTTATGGATTAACAATTGTAATGTCTTTGGAATGAAGATATTTGTTTGGGGCCTGCAATAGTATTTTGTGACAACGATATAAGCAAGAAATATTCAATTCAATTCATAAATGGCAATTTAAATGCCCCATGCGTCCTAATATGTAGTTGATAATCCAATGTGTCAAACGCGTCGGATACAGCCTTTTGCATATTTTTTAACAGCTTAGCAGATTGACCGTATCTCTTTCAAACAAGAAAAAAAAAACATTAAATTCGGCCGGGCAGAAATATAAATACCCTTCACCATTAAGTAAAGAAAGCATTTTTAACATTAACATTTCAACTTTTTAAAAAACCAGGTTAGGCCGTTTTATTGGGGCCATACCAAAACGGGAACTTTTATAGACAGTTTTATACTTCAAGGATAATCATCTACCAAATCTTCTAAAATACCAAATTTGAAACAATTTCGTGAGTAAATGTGACTATAATTATCAAAATACCGAATATCGGTGGGTATCTTTATATGTGAGCTATAGGATAACGTGGACCTAAATATTCAATGTTCAGCCACCGAAACTAGAACCCTACAAATATTAATTTTTACACAAATCCGTGGGAAAATGTGGTAAAAATCACATTTTTCTTTGGACCAAATCCGTTTCAGGACATTTGGAGTCGATCTAGCGATGTACGTCCGTCTGTCTGTCTTAGATCGAGATCGGAAATGGGCAATATCGATCGGTTCACTCCCTTGGTACCTCCCACAGAAAATGTTAACATTTTCACAGAAAATAATTTACTGTACAGAAAGAGAAAGGATAATTCGGTTTTGCTTCAACTTTGCATATCCTAATATTTGCGTCACTTCTACGTCAGGTGCGAAAATGGTGGACTATATTGGTCCACTCCATCAAGTAACTCCCCCACAAAGGTTTAAAATTTTGAATAATTGCAGGGTGAGATAAAAAAACTGCACAAAGTCAAATCTCATAATTTTTACATTTTTTTTAATTTTATTGAATGAAAGCAAAAATTGTCAGAAATTGCATCAACTTTTAGAATATGTTCCGATTTGTTCGAATTGGTCGCCTTTGGCACGAATTATGGCCTCAAAACGGCCACTTATACCGTCACACGCTGCCTGAATGTTACTCTGCGGTATTTTGACCCATTCCCGGCGAAGCGCTTGTTTAGGGTGATCGACACTTTGGTATTTTTTAGTGCCAACCTTGCGTTCCAAAATACTCCAGGCACAATAGTCCAGCAGATTGTTATCCGGAGATTTTGGTGGCCATTGTGCGCTGGAAATGAAGCGAGAAACCTTATTTTGTAACCATTCTTGGGTGGCGCGTCCTAAGTACGATGGTGCCGAGTCCTGTTGGAATGTCCAAGGTCTTCGGCCAAAATGTTTGCGTGCCCAAGGCTTTAATACACCCTCCAGAATATTTTCGCAATAATATTCGGCATTTATTCTGATGCCAAGGTCGATTAATACGAGCGGAGAGCGACCATCGGCTGTTTGGCGGCCCAAACCATCAGCATGGCATGCACATATTCAGCTGAACTCTTTGGCAAGTAAACATCATTTCATTTTGTTTGTTTACAAACTGCTGGACAACGAATGTTTTCTTATCGGAGAAAACCAGATTCGGCAGTTCAACACTTTCGGTCAAGCGAAACAACTCTTTATCTCTTTTGAGTCCATTTTCCTCCTTTCCTGTGTAAGTTCTTGGACTTTTTGGAATTTCAATGGCTTTACCCCGAGCTTATTCAATATTTGCCGAATGGAATATTGCGACATGCTCAGCTCACAAGGCATTTTTCGGATAATGACACAAAAGATTTATTCACATTTAAATGCTGGAATGCTCTAACGATAGCCACTTGTGGTTTTCCAGCCAAATATGAGGAAATAACTTTGTTTCTGGAAAATGCTCACCAAAATGCTTTTGTACGCTTGTAAACAATATAATGAGCTGTCACTGGAATAATTTTAGCTGCTGCTGTCGGACGAGTGGCTAAGAAATTACAGCAGTCTGAAGTAGACTGCAGTTTTTTATCTCACCCTGTAAACGCTCGGGTTCCTTCATAGGAATAGCCACTTATTTAATTCACAAACAGAATTGTTAAAATAATGGGTCTCTACTCCTTTTTTCTTCAAGGTAAATGTCGAAATGTTTAAGAATCGATTGTAGGTAAGCAAATGGCCACCTCCATTTCTTTGTCGATGTCCGTTAATGTAAAACAATTACTTCTGCTTTATAGGCAGGACTTTCTAAAAAAATCTGTGTGCCTATACCGACCAAAGACTGTGTGAACTAAACGAATGTTGTTGATAGGCTAGCCTAAATAAATTATTATTTGATTTTGCATGAATTTCACTTTCCAATATCAAGGCGTTGAGCAAAGCGTGGGTCGTCCCTAGTTACCGAGTAACCTAAAAAATACCAATAACAAAAACACCGACGATGATGATGTTGCCGGGTTGGACGTTTGGTTACTAAGCCCAATTATTTATTTAAGACTTATTATTAACCACCTCTTGTATATTTTATGCCTCATTATTGCTTTCACTTGTTGGTCGTATTATTTTATCTCTTGTTTTGCGTCTTAAAACATAAGAAGAGGAAACATGGAGACCTCCTTATTTAAAGATAATTGGCAATAGAAACACAACACACACACACAGATACTCAAAGAACGAAAAGGTGGTGAAGGGGAACGGAGGCAGCCGTACAGGGAACTCAGGAATTAGAAAGGTATTATGACAATATTTAATTAATAACAATACTAATTACTGTATTATGACCTTACATTAAGTAGGTCGACATCTACATAATTTTGAGCGGGCAAAGGGGGGGGGGGGGGGGGTAGTGGTTACCGTGTTGAGTCCTTTTACACTTGTAATTTTAATAAATTGAAATTTTATTGAAATAATACCATTTCGTTGAAAGTGAATTACTGTTTCTCATCATCGCCTTCTAAAGCGGAACGTTTAATGTGTTTGCATTATTTTTTGGTTAGCGGATTGTTGTTGTTGTTGGGTTGTGCTGGGAGTATGTCTGTTTTTGGTTATGTTTTCCTGCTGCCGAAATTAATTAATTCGTGTTTTTTGAGGGTTTGGGGGTTGAGAGACGATAAACAATTAATAGGAAATTGAATGGGAAACTATGCAAAAACAATACTGACTAATTTTTGAGGATGAAATTTGATGTGAGGAGGGAGGTGAAACTGTGGATTTTGGAAACCAAATTAACACAAACTACGTGATGTCACATAAAAAGCCCAAGGGAAATTATACCCAGAAACCAAAAAACAAAAAAAAAAATATGCAATATAAATAATTTAAGCCTACAGCTAAGATTTGGTCCAATTATAAACAAATGGATTTTTAATTAAAATATACAGGGTGAGATGAAATAACTGCAACAAAGCCAAACACCATAATTTTTACATTTTATTTTTAGAATTTATTGAATGAAAGCAAAAAATGTCGGAAATAGCATCAAATTTGAAAAAAAGTTTAGCTTTGTTTACCTTTGGCATAAATCTGTGGTAATTTTTAGAAAATGTGCGTTAGGTACCCATAAACCGAAGTATTCCATTTTAATACCTCATCTAATAAAAATAAAAATATTGTTATGGGCAAAATTACAAGAAAGTCGAACATTTATATCTAATTGTATGTAAAATCATAAATTCCGATAAATTTTATATTCATATCAGGTTTCTGGTTGAGAGAAATATTTAGGAATCGCAAGTTTGAAGGAATTGCTGACATGTTTCGCAAGTTATGGCAGATAAAAATATTTAAAAATTGTGACCCTTTGTGGGTGAGGTACCAGAAGGGGTTCGCGGTTTCTTTATCAAAAGCTTGAAACCTATAATAGGGGGAGGTACCAGAAGAAATGGTCCTATCTCTACCATCTTGATAACAGATCTTGTGTTGATGGAAATATTGAGATGTGCCAAGTCTGAATGAAATTGGATTTTAATTTCGAGTTTTATGAGCTTCATGGATATTCAACATTTTGAGCCTTTGTGAGGGAGTTACCAGAAGGAGTGGACCGATATATATCATCTTCACAGCAGATCTTGTATTAGTAGAAATAATGGGATATGTGAAATATAAAGAGAACCTAATGCTTATTTCGGATTTTATTAACGTTTTGGTTATTCAAAACATTGACCCTTTGTGGGTAAGGTACCAGAAGGAATGGTTCGATCTCTACCATCTTTATAATGGGTCTTGTGTTGATAAAAAATATTTAGATGTGCCAAGTCTGAATGGAATTTAATGTTGTGTTCGTGTTTTATGATCTTCATGGACATTCAAAATGTTTAACATTTTTGGGGAGGTACCAGAAGAAGTATACCATTTTTACACCAGACCTTGGGCTAATAAAAATATTGCGATTTGTGTAATTTGAAGGCAATCGAACTCTTACATCACCGTGTGTGGACCGATATTGTCCGTTTTCGCACCTGATCTAGCACTGATGCAAATATTAGGATTTACAAAGTTGGAGTAAGATCGGATTATCCTTTCGCTTTCTGTGCCGTAATTTTTTATTTAATTTCGACCTTTTGTGGGACCGATATTATCCATTTTTGCATCTAACCTAATACTAATATATGCAAAGTAAGAGCAAAATTTGGAATATAGCTTCTCTTTCGGTGCATTTTTTTTAAGTTTCGACCTTTTGTGGGGTAGGTACCAGAAGGAGTGGACCCATATATTCCATCTTAACACCAGACCTTGGGTTAATAAA